TGTTTTGTGTCAGCAATGCCTCTTTATAAAAATTATGTATTGCCTAATTTGTCCAAGACTACATTATCAGCAGGCAAACTATGGGTGTAGTTGTGTTTTGGTTTTTTTTTAATAGGCCTTTTGTGGTCTTCTTGATGGATTCTTTGAGTACAAACTACAGAAAGCTGCCCTTGGTATAATGAAGGTGGAGATTGACATAACCCGGTTTATATTAAGTTATGGCTGTTACTAAATAGTGGTTCTTTTATTTGCTGACCAGATCTAAACTTGTGGTCTATGGTATTATTTCTCTGAAGTTCTTCGTTAGTTAATCTTTGTAGATCTATCTTATTTTTCTACAAAAAGGTACATTTGGGAGACATTTTGTAATTTTTGGCATTTTTCTAATTTTTTTTTTCTTTTTGCACACGGTGGGAGATCTTTTTTGTTTTGCATTGATCTGTGTTGGTGGCGCTGTAGTGCTCCTCAACAATTTATGTCAGTTTCACTAAAAGAAAAAGGGAAGAAAAAAAAGAGGTGGGGCAAGATTTTATCTATTTCCTTATTCCTTTAATTTTCTGAAAAAAGATTCAATTTGGTCGGTAGAAATATTAGGTTGCATTATTTAAATGATTTCTGTGAACTGTGAACTATGGTGAGAGCAGACATGTCGTCACATCCAGTCCAGGGATCATCAGGGACACAAGCATGCAGTTTGCAGTTGTGTTTTATCTGATCTTATTTATTATCTCAATGTCAGATTCTTCAGTAATATGCTGTTGGTTTACCCTTTCTCCTCTCCTCACTAGCGTTTTGTATTTTCCTCATATTACAGAATCGTATGTGTTGGTGCCACCTTTTCAATGTACCAAAACGTTTCAGTTTTAGTTCCCTCAACATTGTAAAAGTTGAATTTAATTTTGAACTGAGGGATTTCTTAAATAACTGATCTGAGTCTCTCCCGAAGGATTTTCCAGTACTTTACCATGTAGTAATACCTACATTTTGTTTATTTATTTTATATTGAAATGTTACCTCAATTGAATTTATGTGTATCCTTATTTTTTAAAAAGTAAATATTTTGGGATAAGATATTCTTTAAGAATATGTGCACAGCTTCTTTTAACCTTAAAAATATTGATGTCCATATATCTAAATGCAGGATTATATGTTTTTCCATCTTTGTTCTTATTGAGAGTTATCTGATTAGAGGATATGGGATTTAGGCCCAAAGCCTCCCAAGAACAAAAATGTGGTACGGTATGACACAGATCTTACTAGTCTCTGCAAACATTTTAGTTGTTTGTGATATGTCCTTAGTTCAAAAAAAGTGGGGGAAATCAGTAATTATGCCTTGAAACATATTTTTCCAAATAAAATAAAAACAACTGAAATAGTATCATAGACCACCTTCTCCATATGATTAAATAGGTGATTTCTTGAGCGTGAAAATTTTAGGAGTTATTCAGTATCTTTATTCACTTTGAGATATGTAGATATTCTTTTCCCTGTTTAATCATTTGACAGTTTGAAGTAAAAGAATGTGTGAAAATGACAAGAAGTACTCTTTATTTTCCTATTATCTTTTCCCTTGAACTTCAAAAATAACCATCCATTATTTTGTTTACACTATGCTGTAAAGATTTGAAAATGTTCACTGTAACATTATATCTTTGTAAAATTTAAATGCACTTCAAGATTGGTTTTTGACATTATAGATCATTTATAGAATGAAATACTGCAGGTGTAAATTACATTATCTAACCTGGTTATACTGGAGAGTTTAGTTCTCTGAAGTTGGTCTACTGAATAAAATACACTTTCCAACATGCATAAATTGCTAAAATATCCTATTACTTAGAATGGTGGTATTTTTCATTTTATTTAATCTTTGAAACTAAAAATATTTGTATAATATAGCCCCCTTTTATAAACAAACTGACACTATGAAGTCCATATGTAGCTATGCAATGCTCTTTGTTCTCCTACACCATTGACTATTACATCATTGATTATGAAGTAACCATTATTGTTGAATCTTCACTTTTTAAAATCACCCAAAGATACTGATATTAAAGAGAGTCTTCTGTCTGTGGCTCTTACATCACTGTATAAGTAAGACGGTTTAAAACCGAGGCAGAGACAATTCACTTTTTATGTTATTCTCCATTTTAAAATCCACCTTGTTCTTCATGTTAGCTCTTCACTCTTTGCACATTAATTCTGTTTTAATTGCTAATGTCTTATAGACATTTACTTCATAAGTTTGTTGTGATTTTGATTAGAAATGTAACAATGTGTGTTTTTAATCATTAAAAAAATCTTTATTAAATTTAATAGCTAGAGAAGTAACTCAAATTTTCATACTACATGGACAATAAAAGATTATTTTTTTTAACAATCCTGAATCAGTTCAGTCAACAATTACACATTCATCTCTATCTTGCACACTATTTTATCAATAGTAGCAAGTAGAAAAATTATCTAGATTAAAACATCATATCTTTTTTTTATCCTGTCCATCCCTGTGATAGAGGGAGGGGTTAATAAGTAGTGAAATGGACAAAAAAAAAAAAACAGGTTGCAGAAAGAAGAAAGAAATGATGCAAAAAACTGGAGAATCTTCAAATTAAATTCTAAACAATAAACCTCAGAAAAATGGACTTCAAATAATGGAGCTTAGTCAATAATATAAATAAACTGAAAATTATATTAAGACTTAATGTCATAAACCAATACAAATTCCTAATTGATAATTTTGTATTCATTAGTCCTGCCAGAGGAAATTTCAGGCTAGCCAAACCCAGTAGTTAATAGATAATGGTAAAATGAGGTAACAAAGGGAAGAAACATTTAGAGACATTAAGATGACCTAAGATGAAATGCTGAGAATATTAGGACCAGGATCAATCTTACCTTAGCTTGGAACAAACTTTTTCAGAAGAAGGAAATATATTTATCCTTGGAAACCGTGCTCAATACATATCTGAATTGTGTGTATTTCTAATTTTATCTACTTCTTGCACATATTTCCCACTGCTATTTCCTGGACATATTGCTGTTTTCCATAAGACTATGTAGATACACTACTGTCCCCAGCATGGTTTTACAAAAGAAGAGAAGAGGAAAATAAGCAAAATGGGAGTTAGTATTGTGTCTTTGTTTTTGTTATTTCCAAAATGATTCGTGAATGGAGAATCTAAAGGGAAAGTAAAACAAATACAATAATTTCATTCTGAAAAAGATAAGAACATACTTCACTATTGATTTGTTTGCCATTTGTTTTATTTGGGGGATTTTGTTCTAGATTCATGCCCACCTGCCATGTAGTATGATAAGATGCTGGGACACAATATTAAGAAGAAAAAGATGGGGACCCCTGGTATCCTGCAGTTCCTAACTTACAGTCCAATATAGTTCAAAGTTCTAAAGCTATATGAAATCTAAGGTTTTAGATGTGTGGGGTTTGACTGAGGGAGTCATTCTGGTAGTAGGAGTTTGGGCTTGCCTCTGTGACGTCCATTTGATGAAACCTTTTCTAAAATTTATTTTGTAGTTGTTGAAGATCAAACTCAGAACTTTGTGACCCTCACCCAAACTTTTTTTTAGAAAAAATGGCAGAGAAGCCTTATTTTGTACATTTTCCTCACATGGCTATGAAATAAAAACAAATATTTTATGAAGTTCATCTATTAGACACTTAGCTAAGGGTTAACTAGTTAGGTGTATCAGTTATAGAGCAGGAAAGTCAAATTAATGTCACTCCTATCTAGGATTGGAGAAGAAAGAACTATTTATGAAGCTCTGATATATGTGGTTTGAGCTTTGATATATGTGGTTTGAGATGACCTCAGGAACAAAGTCCCCCAATTATTTTGTTAGTCAAACCAACTAATTCCTACTAGCCAGATGTGTTGTATCATTTAGTTTGCCTTCAGACTAATCTAGAACTCTACTAATAGTGACATAAAAATATGGACATTTATTATTTCATCTGAACTAGTAATTAGGAGGAAAACCAGCTAACAATATTAGGAAGTTTCTAGGTAGATTCTGCTCTTTTATATTATGTAAGTGGTGTCTTTTCCTCACATTCACAAGACGGCTGCTGCAGATCCAAGTATCATATCCTGGTACCACAAATTTCAAAATTGGAAGCATTTCTCTTATTCATCTTTTTATAAAGGAAGAAACCCTTTCCTTGAAGCTTAGAGCTCATTGGTCAGGTTCATAAGGACACGCTCAATACCTAAACCAGTCACTGACAAGGAGATAGAAATGATCATGGTTGGCTTGACTAGGAAGAGTACTTAGAAGGGTGAACACCCACTGTGTACCTAGTGTTCAGTGTGGTTAGTTCTTAGTTGCTCTGTGTAAATACTCGAGCGATAAAACATTAACATCTATTTTCATAGTGATCTCACTAGTAACAGGTGAATTAATTTAAAAAATAACAACAATTACAGTTTACTCTGTTCCAATCTCTATCCTATATACTATCTCTCCTAGCTCCCTAAATCCTCACACAAAGTTAGGGGATAGGACAGTTATACCTATTTTACAGACAAGGAAACAAAGAGAGATTGACACACCAGAAACATGGTCCACATTGTATAGGAAGTGAAAAAGCTAGAGTTTGACCTGGGAAGTCTGAAATCAGAGCTTGGATACCTGCCTCTTCTTCTCTATGTCACATTAGATATTTATAAATTTTTATTCTGTAAATTGGCATTCTTTTTTACATTAATACTTTTATTTTTGGAAACACTGGGATTTGAACTCAGGGCCTCACACTTGAAAGGCAGGCACTCTTACCGCTTGAGCCACTCCACCAGCTCACACGTATGTTAAATGCACTGTATGATGTTACTGTTGGATTCTCTAGTGAAATTACTCATTATTTTATAACTAGCATTCTTTTCACAGAATAAGATGGTCATCCTAATCTACATCTGAATTTTTTATGTTGAATTTGCATAAGGTATACTTGTATCACATCTCATTTCTTCAGGAACATCTGATGGCATTCTTTCAGAAGTTAATTTTTACAAATTGCGAACTAATGAAACCAACTTTTAAAATATTAAAGATTACCAATTCAATGAAGATTACAAATTCAATGAAGCCTTATTGAAGTAGGCTTACTTATTGAAGTAGTCATGATTCATAATGTTAGGTGCAAACAATATTTCTGGCTTCTGTTTCACAGTTTGCAAGTCCAATTTTATGTACTTAAGTATCTATCAACTTCAGGATATATGGGAGCTCTTCCCTCTGGGATTTTTTTTGGGGGATTCACAATACTCTAGATCAGGAAATCTCAAATTTTAGTGTGGGTTAGAGTCATCAGGAGGCTTATTAAACACAGATTGCCAGGTCCTACCCATAGAGTTTTTGGTTCCAAAGGTGTCTTTGTATCTCTAAGAAGTTCCCAAATGGCTTTCAAGCTGCTGCTCCTCTGGTACACAACCTTTGAGAACACTTCCCTAGACAGTCAGGTGATATCTGCCATGATAAATATTATGGGTATCACTTAATAAGTAGCAAACATAACAAATAAATACACACTGCAATATTAAATAGTTTGGGCAGGGAGCCTCATTGAAAGGGTGAGAGTTGAGCAAAAACTTGGAGGATTCTTCTTAAATTTCCACATGAATATCACAGTTAAGATCTATTTTCCAACAATTCATACATGTTTGTGTTTTCAACTTTAAAAAAAAGTCAAGGGGAGTATTCTGAACCATCTTTGGTCTGGCATGCCTCCAGGTTCTACAATCTTTTTCTTGCTCTAGTAAATTTTGTTAAATTGAAAAAAATTTTAAAAATTAAATTTCAAAAACAATCCATAATTTACAAGCTATTTTTAAAAATAAGTAAACATATAATTTAGGTTTGCTCAATAGTAAGTTCCATCTGAAAAGGACTTCTATCTACCATTTCAATGGTTTTCTTAAGATTTTTATCCCACCAACCATGAATGCCCCACATTCATGAATAGGACACCATTTCTGAGACTGAGAAAAGGAGGCTGTCATGCCAGTGACCTATATTTAGCTCTGAAACCCAGTCCACTGCCACAATCCACTGGAAACTCTCCATCCACCAAGCGAGAGGTCACAACCCTCAGTTGAAAAAACACTCTAATTTGCCAAAAAGTTAAGAGGATCTTTTCCAAGAGTTTAATTACTTCACTGCTCATTATCAAGCTGTGAGACTTAAGAAATTTTTAGTTATGAAGGCTTTGCTCATTTTCCAAGAAACAAATTGCCAATATGAATGATGAAAAAAACGAAATGCAGAAAATTCAGTGTCCTTACTTTCCTCGCAATCTGTCAGAAGCTTCAAGCTATCCTTCCATACCACTGGAGTTTTTGTCAGAAACTGATGAAGGACCCTCAAAAAGGCACAGGTAATGAGCTTGTTCTAGTGTGGTCTAAAATCAAAAAGAATTATTCAGTACCTTTTATTAATAACTCAGATAATTTTAAATGGCCTAAAACTACAAAACTGTGTTGTCCAACACAGCAGTCACTTGCCACACTTGTACTTAAAGTTGAATTAACTTAAAATTCAAAGTTCAGTTTCTCAATCACACTACCCACATTTCAAGTGGTCTGTAGCTACACCTGGTTAGTGGCTTCCATATTGGACAGCATGGATCTATGGAATATTTCATGATGCCAGAAAGTTCTATTGGACTGTCCTGGTCTAGAATGTTCCTGATAGATTCACACTCTTGTCCCAGTAGTTCTCAGTTTAGCTTGTATGTAAGCTTGTATGTATCTTTTTTTTTTTTTTTTTGTGATCCTGGAGCTCAAATCCAGGGTTTCATGTGTGCTGGGCAAGAGCTCCACCTCTGAACTTCATCCCTAGCCCTCTGCCTGCATGTAGAATCATTCAGAAACTTAAAAATAAAATGCCTTTTCCCAGTTTGATTGGTCTTAATAGAATCTGGCATAAGTGTTTTCCAAAAGCTGTCCATGAGATTCTAATCTGCAGCTAACCTTGAGAATTGCCAAACTGTGGAAGCAGATTAATGGCTATTGAAGCATTAAGTAAAAAAATTGGGGAAAGGGGTTGGGTAGACTAGTGCTGCTACTTCTCATCTCCATCATTCAAGAGCTGCAGTGCATCTCCTAGAAGTGAGGAGGTCCAAAACTAAATAAAGGATAACCAATCAAACTAGTTCCGTGGAGTGAAGTAGTAAGTTGTTTGCCTAAGTAACACAAACTTTAGCTGGAAGCAAAACAATTCTAAAAATTTCTTTTGTTATAAGGTATTTAATTCCCTTGAGAGTGAATCTTGTATATTGAACAACTATTTTGAAGTTAATTTGAATTTTAAAGAGTGTTAAATTTAAATATTCAAAAGTAATTCCTTATTTTTTAAAATGTAGCTTTCAGATTTAATCATATTTATATCTTGCAAATTTTAGAAATCATGGCCCTTTAGATAATATAGCACACTTAAAACACCTCTCAATTTTTGTGGTACTAGGATTTGAATGCAGGGCTTACTCACTTTAGCCACACCCCCAGTCCTTTTGCTTTTAGTTTGTTTTTTGAGATGGGGGTCTTGCTAACATTGCCTGGACTGGCCCTGACCCACCATCCTCCTACCGCCTCCTCTCAAGCAGATGGGACCACACCCAACTTTATATTCTGAATTTATAAATTGACTATGTACAATTGCCTTCTTTGGCACTTAGGAAACATTTTCAAGAAGTTAAGAAAATCCTTCATACCCAAGAAATTTAATTTCTAAGTATGATGACTCTTCAGTTATCGTTACTGTTTCAGTATTACAAATAAACTTAATAGGAATAGGCTGACCTCTTACTCCATTGGGTCACACGTCCCTAAACAGTACAATTAACTTACGTGAAAAAGTACTTACTGTACTTTCTATTGTACATTCTATTTTTTTAGCATTTCAAGTATTTTATTTATTATCACATTATTGTTGGATTAGGGGTACATTGTGACAATATATCATAGTTAAATTTATGCCCTCTATCACTATCCTTTTTCCTCCCCTCCAATCATTACTGCATTCACCCTCCTCCCCTTGCAACTTACTCCCAGACAGGACCTGTTTTAGCTTCCTGTTCTCTGTTTTTGAGAAAAGGCATTTTGTTTGTTTAAGGTAGCTGTACAGGGAGTTTTCATGTATTGGAAACCTATGTCACAATGTATTATAGCTCAAATTGGTTCATCTTCTCTATTTTTCTCCTTTCAACTTTAGTAATCCTATGGTGATTTCAACAGGCTTAAAAATTCTATATTCATTATTGTATAGAAAGTACCTCAGCCATATTCACCTTCTTAACTTCCTTCTTATAAGTCTTCCTCGAGTTATAATACGCTTGTCTGTTGAGAGAGTAGTTATGGCCTCCCAAAGAATTTTAGGTGTTGCCTACCCCAATGCCTTCCCAGCCTGTTGAGGTTTCTGAATGAACAGAGGTTTCAAATGGAAACACACTGTATCCTTGTCTGAGATGTTGCTGGGATGAGCTGAGTCTGATTTATTTTCACTGGACTTTTGTTATTTAAAAGGTATTCTCAAAGCCTACTTAAGTTAGCTATTGATCTACCTTTACCTATTTTCAAGTCAGATTAAAATTTATGATCCTCATACAAGTGACTATATCAACTGGCAGATTTGGATTTTGCACTTTTTAATCTTTTAGAATATAGAATTGTCTCTTCTTTTGGTGATATAGGGATTTGAACTCAGGGCATTGCACTTGCCCTACAAGCACTGTACTATGCCCCCAGTACTTTTTGCTTTAATTTTTCAGATAGGGTCTTGCAAACCCTATCAAACGTGGTCCTCCTGTCTCCACCTCCTGAGTGACTGGGATTACATGCCTGCACCACCGTGGCTTACCCCTATAACTCTCTTTTATTTCTAAACCTTTGAAGTTGGCAAAAGGCCACATTCCTTCACATCATGTCTTGTATGACCATCAGCCTTTGCAGATATTACACACACTCTGGATCTCTCACATGACTTTGACTGTGTGGTCACATTTTCAGAATGCTAGGAGAGTAAGTCAGCTGTGGCTGGTGTGTTTTGAGTTCCCAACTGCACCCTTTACTATTTGTGTAACATTGGGCCAATTAATTGTCCAGACCCTTAATTTCCTGAAACAAGGTAGTATTACTTACTTAAGTGCTATTGTGAGAATACAATTAGTTAATGCATCTACAGTGCCTACAGTAGTACTTGACTTGCCATAAGTACTGTATGCTCTAAATTTGTTTTTTCTTAGACACACCTGATTATTTCAAAAATAGACCTTACACAGTGTGGTGGTATGTTAGTCAGTTTTCCACCACAATGACAAATACCTAAGATAATTGACTTATAAAGAGAAGGGGTTTATTTTGTCTCACAGTTTTAGAGGCTGTAGTTCATGATCTGGAAGACCTGTTGCTTTAAGACTCTGACAGTATGCTGCATTATGACCAGGAAACAAAAAAGAATGAGGAGAGGATTAGGGGTCCCAGAATCCCCTTCAAATGACTTAAAGACCTCCACCACCAAAAGACTCCATCATCTCCTGATAGCACCACCCTGGGGACTAAATCTTTAACACATGGACTTTTGGGAAACACTTAAGATCCAAACTATAGCAGATGGGAATTAGAAAGATCACCTTAGGTCAGTGGCTCAGTGGCAGAGCACTTGCCTAGCATGTGTGAGGCCCAGGGTTCCGCCACAGCCCCACCCATCCCACCTCCCAAAAATCACACCATTCAGGTGTATGGATTTTGCAGTATTAAAGAGGCTCCCAACTCTATTAAAAGTCAATGAGTCAGACAGCCTTTCCAAGAGTTAACCTGTCTTTGTTTCTCTCATTAAATAAATCTTTATAGAACTTCTACCACATTAAAAAAAAATGTGCTGAGCTTTAAAGGATTAAAAAGAGAAGAGAAAAAGAGAACCCTCTGGGAGTAGGCACTGACTGCATAGAGAAGGCAGCTTTTTACTGGATCCTTGAAGAATGGGTAGATTCTCCACCTACAGAAACTGAGAGAACACATCATGGGTTAGAAAGAAAGAAAAGAAAAAGGCAGCATGAGCAAGGAGAGAAAAAACACAGGGCATTTGGAAATACAGCTAGAACTCCAAGGTATCAACTGTGATGTCCTAGCAGCACAGGGAGAGGGTGGAATGAGAAACCAAGCCAGGGAATCTGGAAATAAGTCACTGTCTGCAGAAAACCAGTTCGAATGCAAGTCAGGAAATGGTGTAGAGAGAGACAGGTGGGAGCCACATCTTTCTCATATGGACCTGTTAAAACTTTTGGCCTTATAGAGAAAAATTCCAGTGGTCTGGATTTCCAGCCAGGCTAGTTTTAATGGGAAGAATAAAGAGAGATAGAATGTTTTAAAATATGGGTCAATTTTGTAGACACTGGGCAGCAGGGGGCAGCATAAAAGCACTGAAGAGTTGAAAGAATGAATACAGGAGATTTGTTTCTGTAACATTTCTTGACAATTATTAGTTTATATTTGTTAGATGGATTACACTGATAACTTAGTATTCTTTTCCCAAAAACAAGTAGAAATTAACAGAGAAAAGAAGGAAAATAACAGCTGCACTCTGCTAGGCTGGCTAATGCAGAATGGCTGTGCTGTTTATTTGAAAGGAGAGAAATAGACAGTTGGCTGTGTTATTATTTCCTTTCAAATAAACAGGAACTCATAGTTTGATACAAATGTGTAAATTTCAGTTGGAAAACACACCCTTATATGATTATAAGACTTTGCATTTTAAAAGTACACTCATTCAGCTACAATGTGTTAAAGGAAGTAGTGAATGAGCATGGAAATTCTTAAAATAAAATTGTAGTTACATAATGGCTGAAATTTTAATATACATTTATTTTACATACTAAATATATGGAATTTTAAATTTGAGTGTTTGTGGTTATAAAATTTTGTGGACTTTAAATAAAATCTTTAATATCTAAATTCAAACTACACTAAATTTAATCAGATTTTTCTGGTGAAATTTGAATAATACTAACCTTTTTTAATGTTTTGAATCCTTAGTGATGTTAAAAGTAAAAATGGAAGCTTCCACACATCTTTTTTCTAAGCTCTGGAATTTACTATTGCAAACGCTGCATTAAACACATTTGAAGTCTCTTTCTCTCTCTTGTCTTTTTTTTCCCTCTCTCTCTTTGACTCTCTTTGTGTGTCTTTCTGTCTCTCTGTGCCTCTCTCTGTCTCTCTGTGCCTCTGTGTGTGTGTGTGTCTGTCTCTGTCTGTCCCCACTCCTCTTTGTCTTTCTCTCTCTCTGCCTCTCTCTGCCTCTCTCTGTCTCTCTCTGCCTTTCTCTCTCTCTGTCTCTCTCTCTCTCTCTCTCTGGTATTAGATTCTACTTCATACACTGTTG